ACTGATTTTTGAGTCTTTTTTCCAAATTCTCTTTGTAGTTGCACCAATCCTCTTCTGATGCCTTTTCAATTTCTATACTAACTCTTTTGCGCTTTTCTTGTCTTCTTTTAGCTGCGTTTATTTTTCTTAGCTCTAACTCTGTGATGATTTTTGCACGTAGTAGTTTATGGTCACTCATTGTACATATGTCCATATTCTCTACCTTTGGGCTAACCACATTGTACTTCTAACTATTTGATACCCACATGTAGTAAATTCTTGACTCACTATTTCTGTTTGACTATGTGAGTATTTGTATATCTTCATATACACTAAAGAGATTTTTCTCCTTAAGCAGGGCCAAAATTTTCCTCTTTGTTTGATATTTTGCATTTGACTTAGAGGAGCTTGTAGTTGTCAAATTTGCTGTGTTGGCGTTTAAATCTTCCATAATTAGGAAACGTTTCAGTTTTCTGCTTAGTTTTTCTAATATATCCTTTAAGAGATTAAGGATCTCTTCTTGCCTTGCCATATTGTTCGGAGCAACGTATAGAAAGATTATCTCTATTGTAAGACATTTGAAATCTAGAACCAACTTTATATAGTAAGGATTGTCTCGGGTCAGGTGAGTGATGTGAGTGGAAATAACATAATTATGTTATTTCCACTTAGTCTAGGTTATTCCCACTTAGATATGATGACAGAAATGCGTCACCGTCATCAGTGTTGTGACGACAGAAATGTGTCACCATCGTCAGAGATATATTAGTATTCGCTCTATCATTTGAGTGACAAATAATTCACGCTTGTGTCGTCATTCAAGTGACAATTGGTTCACAAGTTCATTGTCACACTTGGGTACCTACAATCTATAAAAAAATATGACGACAAATTTGTAGTCTTGTCGTCACACTTGGATATCCCATGATCTATAAAAAATATGACGACAATTTTATGTTTACGTCGTCACACTTCTGCTATCAGATATGCTATATACATGTTATCTGAGCATGCTACATTCACGCTATCGGGTATGCTATTATATGCTATCGGCTATGCTATATTTCTGCTATCGGGTATGCTATATTCACATTATCTGAACTGCTATCAAATATGCGTCGCATAATTGCAATCGGGTATGCTATCGAGTATGCTATCAAATATGATATTGCCTTATTTTGTCCCTAGTGGCAAGATATATGTTTACCTACCTACTCGACTGTAAGTTATATCCCACAATTAATATTCCAGAATGCGGTTAAAATGGATTTGCTCGCGTCCTAATAAAAAATCTGTCCTGGTTTCGTCTAAGTAAAAATATGTTAACTTGGACGAATAATGTCATGGGAGAAAAAGGTTTATTTTTGTTTTAACTTGTTCTTCTATACTTGATCTATTTTCGTCTAAGTTGTCTAGGTAAAAAATAGAATTCTGAAAAAAATATCAAACTCTTTTCTATGGTATATGCTATATACATACCTTTAGTATATATACAATATATGCTATATATAACTATGTATATGCTCTATACACATAGATAAAAATATAAAAGTAAAGAAATCTCAAAATTTATCTGGACAACTTGGACAACTTGGACGGGTAGTCTAAACCCTTTTCTTGTAGGTCAAATATATCATTTAGCTATCTTTTTTTGTCCAGAAAAGCCATCCAAGAAAAAATCCATCCAAAAAAAACTGGACAATAACTTCCTAAAAATCTAGGGCAAACTATGTATCTTTTTCTACCACTCCAACACTATTTTGCACCATTTTCTCCAGCTTTTTCCACTGATAATGATATTGAGATCGATACTTACTAGCATGAGTTCTACATGTACCATATTCAGAATAAGTGAACTTAACACAACCATATTCTTTGTGAGGATAACGAATAGGTGAATTCCAGTGAACTGTACATCCCTCAGGTCGATAGCAACCCAATTGCATACTTTACCACTTCTAAGGATATAAGGACAACGGTAAAATCTCATATCTATACTAAATTTTTTAATAATATATTTGTCTAACACTAATTAACTAAGATAATTAATTTTTATTTTGAACTTTTCTCTAACTGTTTTATAGTTTCAAAAAAATAATATATCATAAATACCCAAAATATTCAAAAGAGTATCAACACACCTACTTCACCTGTATTACCCAATGTGGTGGTCGATACACCAATCGAAAATCAAAAGCGATATGAAGATACTTATACATCTTCTGAATATAATCAGAGATAGATGAAGGCTCTTCAAGCCATGACCCTTTAGAGTCGCCCCTTCGGGCCTGCTCTGCAATAGAAAATAACGGGGCCTTCTACTACCGGGGGCCAAAGCTTTCTCTCAATCACAGATTTCAGAAAATAAAAACTCAGAAAAAGGTCAACTTATCCAATACTTTGGTAGTGATTATTTAACAGGAATTTCAAGTCGTGATATATTCGCAGAAAATGATAAAAGCTTATCTACGATTCTCAATAATACTTTGGCTAAACAAGAGGAGATCCCTTTCATGGCTGTCAATTTTGAGAGATCATCACAAAAAATAGGTGAAAAGCACTATTATGTTTTGTATCTATATGGCTCTCTTATCAACAGTCAAAAAGTGGTAGTTACTCTTACAAGAATTCGAGTTTTCTTTGATATCTTAATACCTGATAATGAATTTGTAGATAATTTTAAGATAAAAATAGACAAAATTCTTTGTAATACAATAAATGCCTATAAAATAGAACAAATCGAAGCCTTCCCATTACTGGGGTATAATACAGAAAAAAGTTATATCTACGTATTTTTACATTTGGTACTGGAGATAGAAAAAAAGCTCTCCAAGCTATCCAAGATAAAAATTTCGAAACTGCCTCAGATGATATGTTTTCATTCCATCATAAAATAGCTAGAGAAAATAAAATCGCAATTTCTGGTTGGTCTATGATAAGTAAGTATAGATACAAAAAACATTCCCATTATACACACGATTTTCAGGTTTCTATAAATGATTTTTGGCTAGTAGAAGATCTAAAAATGATAAGTGACCATTTTCCAATTTCAGTACTCATGAGAGATCGTACACTTATTCTTACATGGGATATAGAGACACAATCACGAGAGTTGGGCAAATTTGCAGAAATACATGATGAAAAAAGTATCGTATTCATGATTTGTATAACCTTGCACTGGAAAGACGATCCAAGACCGTTAAAACAAATCTGTCTTGTCAATCTTGAAACTGCACCAGACCCACGATAGATAACAGTTGTATGTGGGAACCAGACAAATTTACTAAAAGCATTCGCATTATGCTGAAAAGCCTTTATCTCTGATATTCAACTCGGATTTAGCAATTCTGAATATGATTGGCCATTTATTATAGAAAGAGCTTATAGACTTAATATTCTTGAATGGATGTGGCAACAGATGATGGGAAGATTTAAATCGAAGGAAGAAATTCTAAAATGGAATTATTACAGAAAAATAGGGGCAAAATCTAAAAATAGTTTTCAAATTAAAAAAGGTGCTATTGATAATAGTGAGGAAGAAAACGATAGAGTACAGCCAGTTATAATCAAGATTAGTCCAGAGAATAATTATATTTCTACTTTTCTTAAAGTACCAGGATGTGTACCAATTGACATACGTGCATGTTTTAAGAAACTTTACCCTCGTGCGGAGGTTGATAGGAAAAGTTCACTTGCATTTTACTTAAAAATATGTGGATTGGCTAGTAAAGCGGATATGCTATATAA